CCCCCGGGAAAAAAAAAAAAAAAAAAAAAAAAAAAAAAAAAACCCTAGTAAATAAGCTTTATATAACCTGCTAATTACACTGGGATCTGGTGAAACTACAAATCAATAACCTAGAAATTAGGTAAATTTAGGTTTAGGCATGGATGAAATATTATGATCTGCAGGACCAAGTTTTTGAATCCAATGAAGTAGTCCCTTCTTATGATCATGATGTGCCAGGTTTTCTACCAGGTTCAGGGTTCCATCTCGGGCAAATGAAGACTGGAACTGCTCTAATACCTTTACAATCTGCCAAAATTCAGGCCTCTTGTCTGGTTGCGTAGACCAACATTGTTCAATCAAAGCTTTCAGGGCAGACGGGCAGTCCCCGCGGATAGCAGGTTTCATATTCTGCAAAATCCCAAATAGAACAAGTTTCAGAATCAGATAATACAAAACAAGGGTAATAACATAGCCAAAACATTAACAACCAAATTTAATTGTTAGAAATCATTCTGTGAATATGATCCCCATATGCAATGCCAACCACAAAACGATTATAAATATTCATGAACAACTAAAACCACCTTGCTCACAACAGCATAAGCAGCTTGTATAGGCGTCTTATCTTCATAAGGAATAGTTCCAGACACAAATTCCCATAAAATGAGTCCAAACCCATATACATCAACCTTCCGACCATAATGCTTCCTCCTGATCATCTCGGGTGCCATCCAACGGTAAGTACCAGGGTCATCTGCCAGAAGATCACAGTGCGTTTCCTCACAAGCTATGCCAAAATCAGCAACTTTCAAGTGAATATCTTCAGTGATGAGGATATTTTCAGGTTTAAGGTCCCGATGAATAACATGTTGTGAGTGAACATATTCCATTCCTTTAGCAATCTCCAAAGCCATTGACAGTATTGTTTGCAAAGGAAGAGATTTATGCTCAAGCTTGTGCAAGTATGCTCTCAAAGAACCCTCTGATAAATATTCAGTCACAATGCAAAATATAGCTGGCATTTTGGATGCTGCTATGAACTGCATTTCCAGATCATTGCAAAAGATGTAAAATATATAAAGAAGTTCAATAAGAGACAATGCTAAAACTTTCCCAAAAACAGCAGCAGAACTAATCAGTTTCTCAATAACTTTGGGGTCTGCTACATGATTTTTCATCATCCTACAGTTCATTACTACATCTGTTATAAGAATTCACAGAACAAAACTTAGACAATTAGAAGAAAATGTGGCCATTTGATAAGCCATGGAACAGAAATCCAGTACCTTTATAACATTTGGATGGTGGAGACGGGACAAGAGAGTAACTTCCCTTGTGAATTGCTTCTCCAACCGAAAACAAAGGGCTCCAGTTTCGTCATCCTCTGGCACTCTGATTATTTTCACCGCAACTGGTTCATCAGTGTAAACCCCATGGTAAAGCTGACTATGAGCCCCATGAGCAAATCTATGCCCAAGAAATAACTTGGAAAGATCAATTGTGCAATGATCTGCAGTTTCTACAGAGAGGACCCTCCCCACACCATGATCAAAATATTTTGTCCAACCATCCTTACGACCCTTAGACTTCTCATGAAACTTCATTGATGTGAAGCGCCTAAGTGGATTGGCATTCACTGGAGACGTTGAACCAGGAAATTTCGATTTAGGTGCCTTGCTTTCGTGGGCATCTTTATGGAACAACTTGCCAACAATTCTCTTATCAGATTTTCTTTGTGGATGTGGTGTCGAGAATCTCTTCTGACTAGACCTGGCTTCCCTAAAGGTATCAGAAACCTTCGTTTCGGGGAGGGGTGATAAAGCCCTCGGCCTGTTTGTGGCAGGGTTTCTCTCTACTTGAGTGACGGTACCTCCTGGTTTTGGATTCATGGTGACTGCTCGAGGCCTAGATTTGGCACCTGGAATTCTATCAGGCTGAGCAGCGAAAGGAACAGAGGCGAATATTGAAGAATCTAACCGATGACAAACAGTGTGAGAGAAATTTGTTCTCCTTATCCAAGAGTTAACCTCTTCATCCATCTTCACCTACTTTAACTCCCTGGTATTATTTCCTATTCTTCTTTTTCTCCTCGTTCAGCCCCAACTGAGGTTAAAAAAAAAAGATCTCACCCCAAAATCCCTTTACAATTCACAATTTTTTTAAAAATATAAACAGCGAAGAATCAAATTCCACCTCAATTGATATCTAAAAAACTTCTGAGCCAATTAACAATTGCTAGAACTAGAAACAACTATACACCGCCACAGTTAAAATCGGAGAACCTTTTTAAGAGTTCAATATCTGTGAACACAAATAAAAGCAGAAAATCTCTCAAACCTTCATCAATTTTCCAATCTTAAATTCATCAACACGTAACATGCTTAACTACCAAACACTGTTTCATACCTTATAAAAATTCGACCAAAAGCTCCAACAATCGAACAAACCCGGCCCTCTCAGTATCAAAGTCAAACACCACCTTCCCTCAAAACCTGAAAATGCCACACACAGCCTCAGATAAAATCAAAATCAATTAAATAATAATAAAAGAAAATAATTGTACAGCTATCGTCATACACCCCAATGGCCACTAAAGAAATCAAACTAACCATCCCTTCAACAAAATAAATAATTATATTAAACCCGCCCAAGAACATACACTGGGATCTTGACTTACCGAAGGTTATCCGTATATCTCTAAAGATATACCTTTCCAGTTATTCTTGAAAAAACGAAAATTATTTTATTGAAAAAGTGCCACAAATGCATGTCCCACCATCATGTAATAGTACTCCCTGCAATTCATTTCCAATATAAAATATCTGAATTAAATTTTGAAAGTATTTTTTTATGCGGAGAGAGGTGGTGTAGTTGAATTATTCCTTTGTAGACCCGGTTAAGGTGAAGATGATGATGGCTGAAGGGTTCAACTTTTCAAAAAGTCAAGATAGGAAAAAGAAAATATATATATATTAGAGAGAGAAAATATTATTAGAAGAATACAGAAAGTCACTGTCGTACAATTGTAGGTAAAGTTTTCCGTGTGGTTCTTTGCTCCGTTCGGTGAGATTATACGAATTGCACGGAATCCTCTTATTGTTGTTCGCACAATAGATTTTTTAGTGAAAATTACCAAAATAATCAATTTTTAATTTTGCATTTACAAAAATGTCACTTTTTTTTTTTAAGCATTACAAGAATGTCAATTTTTGACATATTTGTCCCTCTAGATAATTTGAAATACCTTACATGTCCTAATTAAATGAGATTTGACCAATGGACGAAATTGTACCAAAATTAAATGAGATTTGACTCAATGGAAGAAATTGTCCAAAAATATGCACAGTTAATCCCTATAACATAAAAGAATGACTTTGTTTTGGTACTGTTCATAGGAGTTCGTGTACTTTTTTTTTTTTTTTTCACCTAACACACACAAACCATTGTCTTTCTTCTTCAGTTATTTTATTTCCCATTTTCATCTTTCATTTTGGGTTTGGCAAGAAACTTTTTATCTTCCTCTTCCATTTAGCATTTTCCCTCTTTTTCATTCTTCTCGCAATCTTGTGTCTTCCTTTTAGGTTTTTGCTTTTCATTCTTCTTCTTCTCGCTCATAACTTGTAAATCTGTCTTTCGAGTCGAGAATTTCTGCAATTCTCTTCTGATGCACAATCCTTTTTTTATTCTAGCGCATAAATCAATTTTTGTTTTCTTGTTCGAATGTCTTCGTTGGACTAATGTTGTATTTTGAACGACGTCAACTTGATCGAGGTTTCTACAAAAGCAATCGACAACATATATAGTAAGATCTATACTTTGTATGTTATCAATGGGCTCAATCTCGATTGCGATATTTCTTCTTCTTGTTGAGTTATTCTCGTTCTTTTTCGTGATATGTTCTTCTTGTTTGTGAAGAGGTGTTTTCGATTTATGTGTGTTTTTTATTATTCGGTGTTTTATTGATTTATAATTTATTTTGGTTTTATTTTGTTTCAAATTAAATTTTTTTTCACTCTTCTGTAACGAAACTATGATCCCTTCTAGCTTTTTTTTTTCCTTCACAAGATTTGTATTTTGTTAGTTTTGAACGGGCTTAGTCTCGGTTGTGATCTCTCTTCTTGTCGTTGAGTTATTTTTGTTCTTTTTCATGATGTGTTCTTGTTTGTGAATGGGTATTTTCGATTTATGTGTGTCTTCTTAGTTTTGGGGGCTTTGTTGACTTCTAATAAATTTTAGTTTTATTAAGTTTCAAATTATTGTTTCCAATTTCATTTAACGAAAAGATGGACGATTATTCATGTATTTGACTTTTTTTTATTTTCAATACAGTCATGTATGCGTTTCTAAACGTGAATTGGGTGTTTACATATGAAGTTGAAACTAATTTACGCATGTGTGTTTTTTGCAATAATTATTACTTTTTTGGGATGCACGTGTCTTAAATGCTTACGTCGGGTCGGTGGTCTACCTGGAGGGCGACGTACGAGTAGTAGTAAAATAGGAGTAAATGTAATTAAGTTCGGAACAACACAGTCCACTTCACGTCCAACAGGATATATAGCTTCGCTATAGGTACCCATCCAGTATTTAGATGTGTAATAAGGAGAGCAAAGGTCATACATAGACTTTTCTCTAAAGCAAGAAGCACAAATTACATGAACGCATGGCATACGGTTTAGTTGGAACTCAAGACACGTACAGGTGTCTTCGAAAAAGTCAACTATGTCCACGTCGTTGGATATCCCAACCTGAGTTAAGTTGTTTTTCAACAAATGGACTCGAAGCCTAGTTCCACTTTCGAATGTCATCCGTAACTCGTTCTCCATCCTCGACGTCAATACGGTACTGTATTCGATCGCATTTTTTTTACGTTCGTAAAACCACTTCTGCATAGTACTCATAATGTGTTCAACCAAGCAGGTTATCAGTAAAGAACAGACTTGTTTCAACATGGAGTTCAAAGACTCTGCGTTGTTGTTCGTCATAATGTTATAACGATTGCCAATAAATAGTGCTCAGGACCAAAATGAATAACCTGCACGCTCTAAGTACCTATGCGTGCTTGCTCCCACCCTACGAATCTGTCCAATGAGTCTTTCAAAGTCCTCGACCCGATAAGTTGTAGCAGCTCGTTTAAATAGAAATATTGCACTTGCGTTGCTGTACCGCTGTATTAGGTTCTTTTCGAGATGCAAATACAACAACCATGGTGAGACAATGGAAACAACTAAGTTATAGCTTTGTCAATGCTCTTTTTTATGTCTGAAACAAATATAATGTCTTCGGAGTCCCCTATAAGCTCTTTTAAGTTAGACATAAATCACTTCCAGGATTTATTGGTTTCAGCATCCACAATCCCCTATGCTAACGAATATATCTGTTTGTTACCATCTTGGACAGTTGCCACTAGAAGTGTACTTTTGTATGGACCTTTCAAGTGACTGCCAACAACATAAGTAACGGGTCTCAAATACTGCATGTAACCACGAATGCTTACACCAAAAGTTAGAAAGAAGTAATGAAACCTATTTTAAGAATCAAGTTCGATGTGGGTTACTGTTCCTGGGTTACTCTCTCCTACGACGTGGTAGTATAAAGATAATTTCTGGAAACTGGCTTCGGTGTATCGTGTAGTATAGTTAAGGTATGAAGTTCCTCCCTACGAGCTTTGTTGTAACTGATTTTCACACCGAGCTCACGTTCCATATCACGTGCAATAGCGGTAGGGTTATACGATCGGTATGGAGTATCCAGTTTTTCCAAAATGTGCTCGGCAATTACAGAACTAGTGGCATGCCGATGTGCGTTACGACGAAAATCAAGGGAATTTGAAGGCTTTCCATGACAAGATGGTCTCTAGGAAGGAATTTGAAATTGGTCAAAAAGTCCTCCTATACCATTCACGGCTTCATCTGTTTTCAGGTAAATTGCGTTCCCGTTGGATTGAACCATTTGTTATTACTAATGTCTTTCCTCATGGTGCAGTAGAAGTCCAAAGTTTGGCAACTTCAAAAGTGTTCAAGGTGAATAGCTATAGGCACAAACCTTTCTATGAAGGTTTCCAAGTAGAGGACGTGACAACATTGTATCTCAAAGGCCCATTTTATGCCAATTAAAGAATGGAGCAATAAGTCTAGTCAAAGATAATAAACAAATGCGCTTCTTGGGAGGCAATCGAAAGGGAATTCGTTCCTTTACTTTTTTAACTTCTATTTTTGTTTTCACATTCATATTTATTGTTAAATTTGTTTTCTTCTTGACATTTCACTTTATGTTGGGGACAATATAAGTTTTTAAGTGCGGGGAAGGTAATCTAGGTTATGTTCTTTTAAATTTTGAATTTAGGTCGTGTTTCCATTTCCAATTTAATTTTTAAAAAATTCAAAAAAATTGAGAAAAAAAGCTGTGGCTTTAAATATTTTTGTTTGTATGTGCTATTTGCTAGATTAAATTAGGTTTTAATGAACGCATAACATGATTGCTGAATAATCTTCCAACTTAAAGTTAATTAGTTTAGTTATTTTCTTTGAGGATTGTAGTAACTAAAATTTGTAGACAAAAAAATCAGTGAGATTTTGAGCCTTTAGACTAATACATCCATATCAATCTCACTATTTTCTTTAATGAGTGATTTCTTCCATGGGTTTGCTTTTCTAGAACTTAACTTGATTCTCTTCAAGGTCATATTGATACATGCATGCTTGAATATGATTAAGGTCATCTTTGTTGTATAAGTTAGCCACCTTAGCCAAATAGCCTACCTACAATTAATTTTACCCTTTCTTAAGTCCCTTTGAGCCTTATTGCCTTTTCTTTTGTAAACCACGATTCAAGCTTTAAACCCGGAAGAACAATATCTTTATCCAAGCCGTAGAGCTAATGGAGTATTGTTCATCATTTTGATACATATGGGTGTGCTAATGGAGTATTGTTCATCGTTTTAATACATATGGGTGCGAAAGAAATAAGTGTGGGGTGTATGAATTTATGGTAGGACTATGATTGGCGGAATGCAACATGATTTCAAATTCAATTCATAAGTTCCATTACTAGTGCAATGTTTTTTATATTTAAAAAAAAATAGAAGCGGGAAGAAGAAAAGAAAAGAAGTGATGGAGAAAAAGGGTTTTTAATATTATAAATTGTGCTATGCTTGTGATTCCTCATAACATCACAAGAAAGGATTTGGTGTGTGTGAAATAAATGCAAAGAAACTGTTAAGTGGAGTGGCTAGTTTTACATGTCTTATATATATGCTTGAGTTAATTTAAGTTTTGCTTCACTAGTTTCGAGGGCTTTTAAGTTACATACCCAAATATATCATACCTTGACCCTAAACCACTTTATAACCCTTGAAAAGATCTTATGATTCATGATACGCATGTGATCTAAGTGTGGAGAATGAGAAAAATATGCAAGCATATGGTAGATCATTTCCGTTGGAATGAATTTGAGCAAAATACTTACCCTTTAAACACATGAGAGTTGAGTGCTTTTATCCCGTGAGAGTCCACATGTTGGGTTTACTCCATCTTCATATGAAAATGCTTGCCAATTCATTATAAGTTGTGTGAGAATGTTTGCTCATGATATGTTGTGTTTTGAAGAGTTTGTTTGTTCTATGTGATGGCATTGCAATCTTAATATCTTTGTAAAAGCAAATTTGAGTTTTACTCGAGGATGAGTAAAAGCTAAGTGTGAGAAAAAAAATTTAAATATGTAAATTGTTTTTTTTCATCCATTAATATTTACATTTTTATGAATAATTGATTCCTAAATGTATTTAATATCCTTATATTTTGATTTAGGTTGCAAATGGATGGAAATTATGGAATTGGGAAGAAAAGAGCTAAAATGACTAAAATAGAAGAAAGTGAAAGTTCAAGGACCAAGTTGCAAATAATCCATGGATGAGAAGATGATGGAATGAAGACTCA